GCGGCGCTGGCTGGGCTTCGCGCACCTCTCGCCTTCGCTCCGGCAGGAGCCGGCCATGCTGAAGCCTTAGGAGAGTTCCTGGGCGCCCTGCGGCAGCAATAGCAGCGCCCCTGGGATTTCCTGCCCTCCCCGCGCTCTGGCTGCGAGAGGATACAGGGTGTTCTCTGCAGGGCCTGTCTCCATGGTTTGCTCTCCCCTGGCCTGCGTAGTGGGACCTTGTCTACATTAAAGAACTAGGGTGGGAACCAGTATTTGGAACCCCTCCCCCCCCCCAGTACTTCCTATGCCGACCTTGCAGCTGCACATACCACCCGCAGCTGCTCCCACTGGTGCATAAGCATTTGCTGAACACTCAGGACGGTGCTTACTTTGCCAAATATGGAGCAGTCCTTGTTCCCAGCGAGCCTGGGCCTGCTGCAGACAGGGGCTTGTCCCTGGCAGTAGCCTCAGTCTGTGGGGAGCTCAGAGGCAGCAGCATGGGGCCAGGGGCTTGTGTGGGGGAATTGGTTTTTAAACTGGCTCGCCTGATCCACCAGCTCCTGTCTGCCATCCTATATTGCTGCCTCATATATAGAGGCAGCAGTGTGGGGTGACAAGAGGTTTCTCAAGAGTGGGAGCGGCCCTGCCCCTGGGTACTGTGGTATATTTGTGTAACTGCTAAGATTTCATGTAGTTACACAGACTACTCAATTACATTATATCTAACATCCCTACTCTGTGCCGCCTGACCTTCCTCCTTCATAGATCCTTCCTGAGTTCCCAGAGAAGCTGACTCTGGGCTGATTTATATCACTAGAGGTGTAGCTGAAAGCAGCCCAAGATCTTATGCACAATGTCCATGGTCTGTGCCAAATGAAATGCAAAGCGTAAACAATCAGCTCCACTGGTGGTGGGAAGTAAATGCAATTTAAAAATTCTTTTAATGCCAGTAAATTAATGTTTTCTTAACAAAACATGGAGAGAAATTTGTTTTTAAAAATGATTTTTTTCTCTTTTATGCATGCTGCCTTCCAAAATCTCAGTCAAAAATTGAAAAAAATATAAAAGGAAATTTCAAAAAAAGATTGTCTTCAAGTTCAGGCAAACTTGGTATTAGCATTTCTTGTGGAGTTGTGACTCACAGAGGCTGCTTTAGCTGGGAATCTTGCTTTCCATCCTTCTTGACTGGGGGGCATGAATATCCAGAAAGTGGCACTTTCTGGTGAATCACTAGCCTCCAAGAAATTCTAACAGCAAATTTGCATGAATTTTTTGACTTTCCCTTTTTATTTTTTTTTCAATTTTTGGCATGGATTTGGGGATGCAATATGTATATGGCTTCAGTGACAAAGCAGTGAGGGGGCTGTACATTATGTTCATACAGTTCCCTGCCTCATGGCGGGGGGGGTCACACAGGGGAAAGGTGGTAAAGCAGGAGTGACATTTTTGAGGCCGGAATAGAGGCCTCTTGAGGCAGCTGGCAGTGGAAGTGCCACTAATCAGGAGCCCAGAGGAATTGTGCAGGCCTACCAGGATGAAGGGTTAGTAGTCAGGAATCTGCTAGAAACAATAAAGGGAGATCATAATGGCTCTCATGGGAATCAGGAGCAATAGGGAGATGTTGGTCAGCTGGGAGAAGTGATAAAGCTTTAGGTAAGGGCTGTTAACCATTTTCATAATGTGAATGAGAGCTTAATAAAGGCATTGCCTCTTGGACACATTTCCCACTGATAGTCACACAGAGGATCACCTCCCCCGGCTCACTGGCAATACAAGACCAATCCTGAGGTAACCACAGGCATTGCAAAAGTGATATTTAGA